CTGAGTTGGAGGTCGAAGCAAAGTTTGCAACATCCACATCGTTGGTTAAAGCCTGCAGCAACAGATCCTGCTTCTGCTGCAAGACGTCGCTCAGCTTCAACAGCTGCTCATCGCTTCTGGTGATCGAGCTCTCGCTGATCTGCATTCGAAGGTCCTTGACCGTTTCGCAAAGTACCTGGAAGTAAACAAGCTATCGCTTAATGCAATGACTGATCCATTTCAGCTTCAAAGCTGCAAATGTTTTTCAAATTTTGCGTATTCAATTGCTACTGTGAGGCGATTCATTTTAATTTTTCTAGATGACTTTTAGTGGTGGAATCGCAATTGAATTTCCTCAAAATAATTAACTTTGGCGAGGCGCGCTTTTGATGCCAAGCCATAATTTGAGCATTTTTAATTATGTTTTTTAATTAGTCCGCCTTCAAAGCGGAGTTATTCCACCAGGCAACTTTAACGTGCTTTTACGATACCTTGTTCCTAATAAATTTCATTTTACTCAATTTTCCATCCAGATATGTTGATGTCTGAAAAGGTGCCAACTGTTACCTTTGCCGAGTTAATGATAACGGACGTCTCATCCGACTGTAGAATGTTCTGCAAATGGCTCTTGAGGCTCTCCTCATACTGGGTGATCTGTATGTGAAGTTGCCCCTCCGGCTGCCCCGGTGTTAATGAAAGTTTCGGCACCGCAATGGTCCTTTCAAAGGCCATCACGCTCCATCTGCAAGAAGATCAAAACAGTCGAAGACTGCGGCGGTTTTCCAGCTTCAGTTATTCACCTGTCCAGCATTTGCACGCTGGCTCGTTCATATTTTTCCAAAAGCTGCGGAAGATGGGCGTCTGAATCGCAGCTGGCCCCCCATCCCAGAACCCGTGCCAAGTCATTGCCGGTACCCAAAGGCAACACTGCAACTTGGCACTGTTTCTGGAAATTTCAAGTTTCAATGGAGCTCAGAGGCGAATGTTCATCTGGACCACTCACATGCATATCTAGTTTGTCGATTTCGGATAGAACCCATCCAACTGAACCATCCCCACTGCAGACCAATATTCGGAATGGATCGAAGTGTCTGAACAGCCTTAAGCCGAGGCGCGGCCCAGTGGAAATAAGATCGAACACTTGGGCCGGGTTCAAGAGTTGCTTGAAGCGCCGAAGAAACTTCACACCTTGATTGTCTCCTAAGAGGGTTGTTCCAGTTATCTTTTAATTTGGAGGGAATTTGAAACTTTTCATATATTCATAGTGAGACAGTTGACTACCCTTTGAGCAGTTTCCCGCAGGAATTTCAATTCGTCCATTCCAGAACAGTGGCAAAATATTAATTGCAGCAATTTATCATTCTGGCATTAAAATGCCAGCGCAAGCAACCTCTTGGGACATAATTCAAGTCGCATCTATAGAAAAGTTTTGCCTCGTATACCTTTTTAATCCTGCGAGGTTCAGCCTTAAGCTGGAAAAATAAATCGCGATTTAAATCTCGCAGCATCTTTGGCCAAACTTTTGAAATTATGAAGCGTTTCAAACAGCACTGAGCGCGCTTAAGTTGATGAGTGTCAGCAGTAATTTTAACTTTTAACTTTTAACTTCTCCAGGTATGGGAAAATCCACGATTTGCATCTTCGGCTGCTCCAAATGCGGAACATAACACAGATCGAATCTGAGCATTGGAACTACTAAATATGAAAATATTGCGCTAGTAAGAAGCAAGAGAAAAGCATTTTTCTTCTGGCGCAAAAAGTTTCAAACTAAAAGTTCCAAACCGAAAAAAGCTATTGCTTGTTTTGTCCTATCAATGACCAAGTAGAAAACGCAAACTTTCCGAGAATCGAACCAATCGCTACCTTGGCCGTTCCATCGCTCAAAGACAATCTCGAATTGTTTGCAAGTTTAGAACTGTGGGAATTTCAATTTAAACGTCCCCGCATTAGACTTAATTCCAGTTCGAGTTGCCTGGTTGTCATTTTACGTTCGTAAACTCAATTCGAGCAAAACTACAGCTCGATATTTGTATAACTATACTGGATTATTTAGGTTTTACGGGAGGGAAGATGGCAACAAAACGGTTTGTGATTTTTACATTTCATAATTTGATGGTCCGCGTGATCGTGTCCTTTGAGTCTCTCGGAATTTTCAGCTTTTTTACCTCGAAGAACAATTCAAATTAAGCACTTTCAGCGGAAAAATTCCTGGATGGTCTCCTCTTCTCGAGCAGCTTCTCGTGTTCGGTTAGTTAACTCCTGCTCAATTTGTACCGGTGTTTAGTAAGCCAAAGTCCACGTTTTCGTAATTTGAAGCAAATATCGCAATTTTTCTTTTCGAATGCTTAAGCATGCCAGTAGGCCCAACAAAGCCAATCAAACATGAGACCAGTTTAAAAGAATGCTTAATAACAAAGTTGACATTCGATTTTCAACTGTTCAATTCCAACATCCAGAGACTTCTTATAGCAACTATTATCTTTCTATCTTGAATTTCATTTATGTTATATTAAATAGTGTTAGTAGGTATACATTTCAGGATGGAAAATCCTTTAGATTTGACAATACCTTCACTTATTCATTTTTATTGTAAACGAGATGTAAAACACAGAAAATACTTTAGCACCCTGAATTTCTGTAATAAACTTTTTTGTAATTCTTTGCTTGAGTCTTTCGGTTCTATTTTAATTTTCCTCGGTCTGGCACTGCTGGGTTTGACAAACAAAACTTAGGAAGACTTTGTTGTTTTAAAATCAGCGTTGTGCCCGAAGGGCTCGGCACAACAAATACATCAGACTTGAATCTCCTGGATGTTGGAATCTACTTGAACATCGATTGGCCTCTAATCTAATTGTTTTTAAACGGGCGAACGAAGACTTTAATTTGTCTTCTTTGGTTTTTGAATCGGAAAATTGAATTCACCTCCAAACGTGTAACCGCCAACATTCTCCCTTCTGAGCAAATGATTACAAAGCACGATTCCCCCGGTGGGAAATAATTACGGGCATTTTTCGTTGCCAACCACAATGTCTGGAGATAAGCGCGAGAACAATGGCAAGTTTTACGACACCATACTAATTATAAATAATAACTTCGGGTCGCTCGTTAAAAGTTGCCGGAAAGAAGCAAACCTGGAGTTATAACGAGGTTGTTTCGATCCCGAAGTAAAACCGTTTATAACTTCGGTAATTTGAAATCCATGTCGGGACCGCTTAGTCCCGAAATTTTCTAGCAAATCACGAAAGATCATTAAGTCGAAATTGAAAACGTGGTCAAGCCCAACTTGGGATCACTCTTTAGGCCCAGCCATCTGATAAGGGCAACTTGTTACCGTAAGCCTGAAAAGTTTGCAAACTTGGCCTACGAGGGCAATAACTGAATTTGCAGATGAACCATTTTTGGGGGGCCTTTCAATTATGAACTTTAGATCGAAGCGTTCACGTTTCCAGTGAAGTTCAAAGGAAATTCTTAAAGTTGCTGCTGATTGATTGTGCAGCAGTTAATTTTTATAGTTCAACGTTTGGTGATTTACGCGTGAAACAGAAACTTGCCAATCAATCAAACCAAATAAATACTTTTGCTTCTTTTCTGTACTCCGTACATGTGCCGCACACAACTCCTGAATAAAATGACTCCGATTTTTAATCACTGTACATAACTGTGGGACTGATTAGAGCATACAGAACAATAAATGGAAAAATATACACGGAAAACTTTGCATGCAGCATATTCGAAACGGTCGATCGATTGTGCCTATATAGTTCTACATGAACGCATTTTAATTAATAAGTGAAGCTGCATTAAATCAGTTTAATTTTCAATCAATTCACAGCCATTTGTGCACTGGAATCAATTATTTCCATATACTGGCATTTAAATTGCGCATTTTCAATGAACCCATTCAGATTTTAATAATTGTTGTCATTTAACGTATGAGATTCAAATTTCGCTTTCTGGGCCAAAACTACTCGAGTTTCCTCACTTATGGTGTCACATATGAATCGAGTTTTCAGTTCTCTAATGCCAAAACTAATTCTGTCGCTCAAATAGGGCTTGAGAAACTTTTTTCGATTTTCAAACTAAAAAATTAACACGCAAATCTAAAACTTCTTCAAATCATCACTTTTTTGAGAAAACTGCCAACATTTCCGTATTGACGCTTGAATTTCGTTTCAATTCTTGAATTTTCAGTTACAAAATACAGTCTTCTGTTATCTATAAAATTAGAAAAATGATCGTCGTTTTGTGCAGGGGTGGCGCAAGATTATTGCAAAATTTCATGTTTTCCGTCCCGTTTTGCATGTTTCTCGGAAGC